CTGATTTATTTCACTTATGAGTATGGTCTCTAGTTGTGACCATTTACCTATAAAAGCCTCGAGTTTATCTTTCTTTATAGCTGAGCAATATTCCATTATATAAAAGTACCACAATTTTTTATCCAATCCTCAATGGATGGACATTTGGGTTGCTTCCACAGTTTAACAATTACAAATTGCGCTGCTATGAAACTGGGTGCACATATATCGCTGTGATATGAGGTTTTCAGATCTTCTGGGAAAATACCCAGAAAAGGAATAGCTGGGTTGAATGGGACCTCTAGACCTAGTTTGCTGAGGAATGTCCAAACTGATTTCCACAGTGGCTTCACCAGTCTGCATTCCCACCAGCAGTGAAGAGTTCCTGTTTCTCCACAGCCTCACCAGCATTTGTTATTGGTTGATTTTGTAATGATAGCTATTCTTACTGGGGTGAGATGAAATCTCTATGTTGTTTTAATTTGCATTTCTCTAATAACTAAAGATGTTGAACAATTTCTCATGTTTGCCATTTGTATTTCTTTATCTGAGAAGTGTGTATTCATCTCAGCTGCCCATTTTTGGATTGGGTCTTTGAATTTGGGGGGGGCTGACGTTTTTTAATTCTTTATATGTTCTAGATAGAAGACCTTTGTCCGACAGTCTGCTGGTGATTTCTTTAGATGTGCAGAAACTTTTCAGTTGGATAAGATCCCAGTTGTTGATCCTTTCAAGTGTTTCATGTGCAGTTTGGTTTTTGTTCATGAACTCTCTGCCTACCCCTATATCTTCAAGGTTTTTATCTACTTTCTTTTCCAATAAATTTCGTGTTTCTGTTTTAATATTGAGATGTGTGATCCATTTTGACTTGAGTTTGGTGCATGATGATAGACTTGGGCCTATTTTCAGTCTTTGGCAGGTGGCAAGCCAATTTTTCCAGCACCATTTATTAAAGAGGCTATTGTTCTTCCAGTGAGTTTGTTTGGCCCCTTTATCAAAGATTAGGTGGCTCTGAGTGTGTTTTTGGTTGTTTTTGGTTGTGGCTGTTTCTCCCAATCTGTTCCACTCAGGTGGCTGAGTGTGTTTTTGGTTGTG